AACAGTAATAATGTGAAATATTATTACAATTTAAAATAACTGTTTTCTCTATTAATATATTTTTAAATGTAATTAATTCCTGTGATGACAAAGCTGAATTTTCCACATTATTATTCTAGTCTTCAGTGTCACATGATCCGTCAGAAATCATTGTAATATGCTGATTTGCTGCTCAAGAAACATTTATTATTATTATCATCAATTTTAAAAACAGTTATGCTGCTTATTATTAGGAAACTGTGATAATTTTTTTCTAGTGCTGGGCAACGATTAAATTTTTTTTTAAATCGCGATTAATCACATGATTTTTCTGCGATTAATCACATTATGCACAAAATTCAATAATGAATTCAAAAGTAGTGTATTGTGCACTTTTTTAATTTAAAAGTACTGTTATATGAACATTTGGTTTGTAAACTCTTTAACAGAGTGCGGCGCAGGACAACACTTGATGGGTGAGTGCGGGTGCGGGCGGGTAGAGACTCGTGTTTGCGGGATGCGGGAGAATACGGGTGTACTCACACTAGGCAATCTTGATCATGCTCAAGCGCGTTTGACCCCCAAAGCCCGGTTCGTTTAGTGTGATCGCTCTGTGCCGCACTCGGGCGCGGTTCGTTTAGCCGTCCCTGGCTCGGTTGGAAGAGGTGGGCCAGAGCGCAGTTCAGTTGGGCTCGGGCGCGGTGCGCATGTAGTGTCGGAGCGCGGGACTTCTGATACGTGCAGCATGATTGCTTGAACATTTCTGAGCGGCAAAAGCGATAGATCTGTAAAGCAAGATATTGTGAGAGGCCCGTGTGTTACCGCGTCCCAAACGACTCAAAATAATAAACCACAAAGTTAACAAAAGGATGCACTCCACTGTGCTGAGCGAGAGCGCTTCTCTGCTGTTTTCACGTGCTATCGGAAACTTATTATTTCCCACTTATGAAGTTGTGAGCGCTTCATGTGAGCGCTGCTGCAGTCTTAACTTCACCCCATGTGCTCTCATTGGTTGAGACGCGTGATGACGCCCACCCCAAGCCAGTAGCCTACTGATCAACATCCCACCCCTCCTGTGACCCATGCTTTGTCTGTGTGTGTATTCAGAGCCAGTGAGCAGCGGACTTTCATAATAATAAAAAACTGTGTTAAAGCGCGATAAAATAATTGTCAGCGTTAATGCGATAATAACGCGTTAACTTGCCCAGCCCTAATTTTTTCAGAATTTTTTTGATGAATATAAAGTTAAAAACAGCAGTATTTGTTCAAAATATAAATATTTTGTAACATTAAAGGAAAAGTTCATATTCAGTTGCTGGTCCCCATTGACTTCCATAGTATGAAAAAAAACAACACTATGCAAGTCAATGGAGACCAGCAACTGAAGGTGAACTATCCCTTTAAAAATGTCTTTACTGTCACTTTTAATCAATTGAATGTACCCTTGTTAAATAAAAAATATTCATAAAAAAGAAAGAAAAAAAAACTGACCCCAAAGTTTACATTACATGTAAATGTAAAGTTTAAACGGTAGTGTGTGTGTGTATATATATATATATTTTTTTTTTATTTTTTTTTATTTTTTTTTTATTTATTTTATTATTATTATTTTTTTAAATCACTATACAAGTTATTACATTTTAACATGTTTTCCCCCCCAAAAAAGAAGCTGACATGGCATTAATTCACAAAGAAACAAACAAACATTTTTCAGAGATTTATAGTTTTTTTTTTTGTGGATCTGATTTTATTTATGTATCAGCTTTGTGCTTGTAAATTTATGTGCATTCATTCATGAATATTTATACAATAACAACATCATATATCTGCCCCAAGGTAAGATAATTTCTGCACTGTCAATTATTTTCTCATCCAATTTTTCCACCTTAGAGAAAACGACCCTTGTATGCAAAACGTAATGATAAATATTTCAAATAGTAGTATCCTGTTGTTACATGACCTCAGTATATGCAGATAGTTTGCATGTTGTTAACCAATTTTGTATAATTGTCTGAACTTTTGGCATTTCCTATCAAATATGTCAGAATAGATGTGTTAAAATATAATTCTGGTTCATTTGTCACTCTGTAAAAGGTAGGTCAAGTCGAAGACGTTAGATTGCGAGATACAGTATAATGTTTGCTCTGCTCCAAACTGCAAACTGAGTCATCGGGGCGTTCCATGCATATGCATGCATATGCATGCATGTATGAACATTTGTATACTATATGCCTGTGTACTTTTAACATAGTATGAGCAGTATGCCACAATAAGTAAAAATGTCTAAATCCAAGGGAACAGACTAAGGGAGAGTAGAAACTGTGACATGCACTGTTTGCAAAAATTATTATAAAATGTCCCTGAATTTGCAGGGCAATTAGAGTCCAATTTGAATGCAAATGTCTTCCTCCTGCCCTTATGAAGATAATGATGGCTTCAGCATGCACACGCAATTCTCAAAACAACTCTGCTGGCACTGGGAAGGGCACATGCACACCCATTTGGCTGCGTGCATCACACAAACCTCAAGGTGCACGCGTCTCTCTCTCTCTCTCTGTGTGTGTGTATACCTACTTAACCATATTTTGGGGACAAATTTGTACCCAAAATTGAGCAAAACCTGACAAAATCGCCAAAAACCTCCATTTGGGGACGTCCTCATTTGTAAAACTGGTATAAAATAAAGTAAACAAAGTTTTTGAAATTGTAAAAATGCAGAAAGTTTTCTGTGAGGGGTAGGGGTGGGTTTAGGTTAAAAAGTGTATAACTATCTGTATACAAAAACAATAGAAGTCTATGTAATGTCCCCATTTAGATAGCTAAGTAAACGTGTGTGTGTGTTTGTGTGTGTGGTGCGCAGCGGACAGGTCAGTTTTGTTCTTGTCTCGCTAGTAGTCTTGTAAAGTCGGTGCTCGAGAGCAGCGGTTCCCCAGCAGTGGCCCACTGCGCACAGCCAGCTCAAACTCATTTACATCCTCTGCTTATTAAGCTTCGTGTGCTAATGAAGAGAGCGCCAATTAACGCCGATACATTTCACAATGTTAATTAAGCGGACATGGTTCATATAGAAACCATACACTTGCTTTCAGAAGGAATTCAACATGGGTAAAGCGTAGCTGGTAACTGGTTAGACGACATACATGTCAGGAGTGTGTTAGCTTGGTTGAAGTTTTGGTTGAATGAATGACACGATGACTCACTCATTCAGTGATTTAGTACCAGCACAATAACATGCTCAGCAAAATATAGTCTAATTATCATTATCAACAACATTCCAGAAAATATAGAGATTTTTTGTCATTATCACACACCCCTACTGAGATCATTCATTTTAATTTTCACCAAAATAT